GGTAATGGATTGAAAACTGGAGGATGTTATCTGGGTCAGGACATGCTTGTGCTCTCCAAAAAGGATGGTGTTCATACGGCTCTGTTTTTGTCCCACTCGTTTTTGAATGCGGAGGGTTCGGACAAAAAGTTCCGGGTATCAAGCGGGTACGGGTACGGGCGGGTACGGGTAGCTGCGGGTACGGGCGGGTATACCGCTACCCGCATGGAAACCCTAATTTTGACATGGTGGCCTAACTTTTGCAAATGGGTTTCCTAGGCCGCCACCTATTTTTGGCCTAAAAGTGGCCTAACATGACCCTGGTGTGTTTTCTAGGTCATTTTGACAGGATGGCCTAACTTTTCATGTTGGGTTTTCTAGGCTACGACTAGGCCAATGATCTAGAAAACACACCAGGTGAATATCAAACCAATTTTAGGTCAGTTTAGCGTGGTGGTCTAGAAAATCCAACTTGCCGCCAAAACTGAACCAGGGACCTTCCGCACAACAGCTGTGCACGCACACAGTTGGGCCATGTGAACCGAGGGGGAGGGAGGGCAGTAGATACCCGTTGAGGCAGAGAAAGCAAAAGTGAGTTAGCGGAGTGACGAACCAGTATAACTAATACATTGAATTGTGCCGAAGGCGCACCAGCCTGCGTGCTGGTGAAGAATATTCTGGAGAAAAAGAATTTTCAAAATTTTCAAAAAATTAACACAGGAAATTTTTATTTAATAACCCTCTAATGAAAATTGTTGAGCAAATCTAGTGAGGATCATTGCTGGGTTGTTTCCACACGTTCCATATAATTTGAAGGAACATTGGGGTACAATGCATTCGATTTACAACATTTGGTTTTCAATGTTTTCCACAAAGCCATCACATTTCTTCGATTACAGCAAAGATATGTAATTTGAGTGAGTACTGGCGTAAGCAACAAATCCACAAGTTTTGTGTGGACGATATACTAAAAAAGGAACTGATTTGATACTTTTCTGACAAACAACTTACGGCATCCTGATGTGAAGGTTTCATGGCGATGTAAATGAAAACAGGAACAAGAATCTGAAAAAAAATAGTGTCAAGTTAGATGTTCTGTTCTATTAACTAGTTTCTCTGAAGCAATGACTATTAGTTGCAGGGCAACAAATCTCTGAGGTTTATTAATTTGAGCAGATGCCAGATTGCCGAGTTTCTTGATACTGATAAAGATTGGAACGTATAGAGCAGCAGACGCTACCAGAAAAGCTTGGAGTGAAATGTTGTAGATCTGAAATTTGGATTTCAAGAAGGGCTATCAAACCATGCATTCATACGTGAGAGAATAAAGACGTTGATTGTGGGAATTTATAATGTAGATACACAATAAGGGCATATTCGAGAAATGAAGCTCCATAAGCCAATATGATAATCAGATTCATAGTCCATCGGGAAAAATTGAGAAATTTCTCTGTACTGGGAAAGAAATAAAGGCAGAATCTTTGAATTACTAATAACAGTAGTATAGTAATGCAGGATTATAGTACCGTTTTCCATTTTCACCACTTTTTGAAATCTCCATTTTCACCCATATTTCCACACTTTCTCTTCTGTTTCCTTGAATTATCAAAACAATTAGCTGAAAAACACCCATTTTAGGCGAGCACGAAAATCGTGTTCGGAACACGAAAATAATACCACTTTTTTTCAACCTCTCAAAACAGTCACTTTTCACTCCAACTGATAACAAATTCTCTACACTTAAATGCGTTTTCAACTTTCTTATCAATTTGTTCTCATGTCAGAATGGTAAAGCGCCTGTCTTGTGTTTGAATGCTAGAAAGTTCGAAACCCACTCAAAAGCTCAGGATTATCCACTTAATGAGATCCGAAAAATATGCAAGAAAAATTGAAAAAAATCGAAAAAAAACGAAAAAAAAATCATGAAAAAAACTGAAAAAAATCAGAAAAATCAGCCAAAAATTCTCGTCGAGCAAACATGAAAAAATCAACCGTCAGAACCATGAAGAAACGGCAAAAAAATCAAGTGTTAACCAACACTCTTTTCATTCAATTCTTTACCATTATTACGTTTTATTAAATGCTGAATAAAGATTTGAAACCATTAACAAATGTAGATTTATTAGAAATAGCAAAAGAGTTACAAATCAAAGATTTCAGAGGTGTATTTATGAAGGATACTTTACCAGAAAAACGTAAAGAAGTAGAAGTAGGCATCATTAATCTTGATAGTTCAGATAATAAAGGTACTCATTGGGTCTGTTATAAAGTAAATAAAAGAGAATATTATTATTTTGACTCTTTTGGTTTGGACCCACCTCAAGAAATAATAAAATATCTTAAACATAATACTTCAAACGAAATAATTACTTCAACATTTCAAATACAAAAATTTGATACTCATCATTGTGGTTACTACTGCTTACTCTTATTAAAATTATTAGAAAAACACGACTATAAAAATTCTATTCTAACTCTATTTACTCAAATATAATAGGTCTAATGTGAATACCATCATCCTCACAACTCCTTTTCCATATACAGGAGATAATCCTATCTTTTTCTGTTCATAAGTTTTCATTTCTTGATTCTGGAATCTAAATCCTTTATTCAGTCCAACTATTGTTTGTTTATTAACAAGACATTCTAAATATTTTTCTTTAGTTAGAATAGAACTATTTCTTTTCTGCTGAACACCTTTTGAAGAAACTTTACATTTATCGTCATTTGTCCAAATACAATAAGTTTTACTACATAATGCTATCATACCATCCCCCTCTTTTTCCACTTTAAATAAACCTGGTGTTCGCTTATCTATTCGACGATGCTCCTCTGTATCAGTTCGAGGAAACCAATTACATTTATCTCTCTCAAATTCTTCTCTCATCTCAGGTTTAATCAAATCCTCTAAAGTATTGCCAGTAATAGCCATATAAGCTGAATCGGTATCCATTTCAATGTATTGGAAATCAGTCCTATTAACATACTTATCTACACAATCATAATAAAACTTGAGCATATTCAACTTCGAATCATCGTAAACACTGCAGGCAATTTGTAGAGGCATATTCTGTTTAACATTTTTTGATCTTTTTGTTACTTCGTAAACCCCATTATATTCCTCTGCATCATAATAAAAGTAATCGTTTTTAGCTCTATTAAACTCCACTTCATTACAGAAACTTGTTTTTTTATGTTTGTTCTTATCCATTCCTGTTCTACCAAATGCTGAATTTCCCACAAGTTTAGCACCTTCCGATATGATTGCATACTTTGAGTCAACGTCACCTTTTCTTCTTTCATCTGAAACCCAATCCATAAAGCCTTTGAAAATTCTCCTCCGTTTTGCTTCAATATATCCGTAGAGTTTTGTAACAACACAACCATGTTCTAACATCCACCGCAGTCTTGTAGATTTAATTAATATTTGTTTGGCTTGAAGTGAAACAACTAACTTTCTACTTTTTGTTGGTTTTCTTTCTAAGGATTTCAAAAGGTTTAATGTATAATCTCCACAGATAGTTTCATCATATTCCTTATTTACAAAGATTGGACACATCTCACTAAAATAGTTCCACTTATCTTTAGGGACTTCAATATCCACTTCTAAAAATCCAAAGAAAGAATTCTCTAAAACTTGTTTCTGTATTTCACTCCAATTATTACTCTCCTTAAAATATAGTTTTCCACACGGCATTTCCTCACCCAGAGAATGAAGATATAAAGCATTTGCATCGAACCCTACTATTTTCTTTACAGCTTTACCTTTTTCTGGATACGTCCATTCGGTACCGTTGTAATGAGCTCGTGTTATTTCTGTTTTATTTACTTCATGATATCTATGAAACACAATAGATGCACCACCAGTTATATTCTTTTTGAGTTTGTAGAATGCTTTTTTGTTTTCTTCTCCAAACAACCAGATCATTGGATGATCCTTTTCGAATCTCAACATTGCTTTGTGTCTGTAAAACTCTTTGAACATCTTATCTGACCTAGCTTTATTACATTTGATACAGGAAGCAACACAATTGGATTTGGTATGAGGTAGAGCATTATCAATTCTATCAAGAGACCATGTATCACTACCTAACTCTAACCAACAGTATATACAACTATGGTTCCCATTTTCTAATATTTCTCTAACACAATTAACAGTCAAATCACAAGGTGGTCTTTTTGCTTTTTCATCTTGTTGACGATAACCATCTATTCTCTTATTTATTTGTGTTTCACTTATAGGAGTATAATGCTCAATCTTCTTCGGTTTTTCTTTTAAATATTCTTCGAAACCACTAATTTGAAACTGATACAAAATATTTTCACTAAGACCTGGTAGCGAACAAGCATCTTTATACATGTCTAGCTTGAATGTGTAAAAGAATTCTTTTTGTTTCAAACAAGCTTCTAACATTGGTCTTACATCTAAGATATTATACCATTCTAATAAATCTCTAACAGTTTCTAGTTTCTTATCAACGCAAATCTTCATCAATTCATCAAAGTTTTCCTGATTCATAGGACCATTTAAAGAAGAATTAAAATTTTCTATTGTCAAATCGTTTGTTAGATAATTCAACTTTTCATAGGAGTCAAACCATTCATAAGGAAACCATCCTTTTTGAACATTAACATATGCTTTGATGAAACTTTCTAATTTAGTGCCAGCAGCGACATAACTCATTTGATCTAGAAATTGAAACTGTCCTGTCTTTATAGTCTTGTATCTGTTTCCTTCTTTAATTACCATTGGGTCAATTTTATCTAGTTCTCTTCTCTTCATAATTTCTTGAATGAAAGGTGTAGATATTAAGTTTATGTCATAGAAACTACTATTAAATCCAACTATAGGAATCACTTCACAATATCGTTGCACCTTAGTTTCCAACCATTCATTAGATTCTAATCGACATAATAGTGGTTCCATTTTCTCTAACATCAGTTGACTTGCTTTCGAAGCCACATCATCAAACCATTTAAACATTTCTTTCACTAGCTCATTAGGATCTTCATTTAGTATAAACTTATCGTCTTCAAACCCAGGTACATTTGTAGCAATCGCCACAGACGTCGGAATGTGCTTCATAGTGTATGTTAATTTATCACTAACCTTATCATTCATTTTTTGCATTCTAGACTCCATATCAAATGTTATCATATAATCATACTTAAAATCAACTTCTACATCATAGGTATCAGCTAATTCTACAATCAAGTTTCGATCTTTCTTCCAAAGTGTTGGGTACTTGTAAAATGTATCTTCTTGTGTTAAGGTACAGCTATTATAATGTCTATCCAGATTAGCATTATCTCCAAATTTTTTTCCACATCTTTGACACAAGAAGATAGAAGATAGTTTGCTCAAATCAGTTATATACGAAAAGTGGTTGAGATATAAATTCAGGTAAATAGGTTTTCTTGAATCATTGAAAGATGATTTTCTAATATATGGAATTGTTCCATCTTCATAATAGCTTACAATATTTATCGCATATTTTTCATTGAATTTTTCATATCTATCAAGCTCGTTAATGTAATCAAATCCAACATACTCATTAACGCCTTTCTCAGCTCCATAGAAGTTTTGGAATAATTCTTTAACTTTCTTGCTAGCTCTATCTTTTCTACACCCTTCAGCAACAGCAATACAATACCAGAAACACATATTTTTATCAACATTCTGTAGACTTATGATTGTCTTGGAGTCCAAGATGTATTGAGGTAAATTAATCGGTGCTCCAATAGGAAAATCTAGTCGTGTAATTTTTACTGCCATAGCATAGACACCAACTAAACGCGTTGATGAATTTGGAAACTTACTTAGTTTATGTGTAATAGTTTCAACAGTTATTTCCTTTTTCAAATTAGAGATGTCTTCAGCGTTGTTTATTTGTTTCACTTTATCGAAGAAATAATTGTGTCCAGGTTTGAATAGTTTCAAATCATTATTTTTCACGGTTACATAACCGAAACTTAAATTGATTTTAATAGCCTCATTCTCTTCTTTATATATTTCATCTAAACAATTATGAATTTGAGTTACTGAATCTATTTTATTAAAAACAGTCATTTCAAGATACTTGCTATAGTTAGTTTCTGGAAACTTCTTTCGTTCCTCTATTACCAACTTTTCAGCATCTGCCTCAAATTCTGTTTCGTTTACTTTAAAATATTTCCCATTAGCTTGACTTGTTTTCTCCACAACATTAGGAGTTGTCGAAGCTTGGAGGAAGTTGATGAGATCTTGTTTTTTCATTTTTATCAATTGATCATTAGTCAGTTTGAGCTTTTTATCTTTATTTATCTTTCTCACTTGAGTAAGAAGGTCTTTTGTGTTCCATTTCTCATAATTAATTTTAGGTTCCATTTATAGAGCAATAAAAGTATCATTTAAAACCTATAATAAATTTTCAGAAATATTGAATAAATCAACCTAAAATCGATGATATTTCCTGTAATAAATGCATTCTGTAGTTGAGATAAATGACCCTAAACGACGTAATGAAATAGTAAACAACTTTTTGAAAAACCGAAAAGAGCATAAAATCAAGAATTTACAAGAGCGATCAGATTTAGAACATGTAGAAGATTATAGAATTGAAGTATTTAAACCTATTTTAGAATCCAACAAAAAACTACAAGAAGAAATAATTGATGAAAAGAATAAAATAGTAGAAACTCTGAATAACTTCAAATCACCTTCGCAACTTTCTATAGGACCTCCATCCACTTCGACACCAAAGACAAATCGTAAAAGTCTCATTAAGCAACCCTCAGTAATCTTACCTCCATCTCTACCTAGTTCTTCTCCACCTCAAGTTGTAAGTAATCTAATTGTAAGTTATCTTCAAGATAATTCAGATAGAAGTAATGCTGGATACTCAATCAAGTTCAACAAAGCAGAAAAGAAGTATGCTATTGGTAACAAAGACATTACATTCGATCAAAATATTATCAAAGTTAATAATGAAGAATACACAGCAACTGAAGGGTTGATGGAGTTACTACTCAAAAAGTCTCCTGATCTAAACAAGATTACAACTGAAGATTCTTCAAATTACCAAAAAATATTATTATGCTCCAATGCTCTGTACCAAGGTTTTGATAAAGAATCTAAAAGATACAATTCAGATTCTAGTGATAAATGGAAATTCATAAAGTCTAAATATTTTGTTGCTAAGACTCCAACTACAGCTGGAACATCTTCAACATCAGGAAGTTCTATTTCTTTCATACCATCAAATACCAACTCTCTAATTGACTTATTAAGACTATCTATTGGTTCATATCAGGCTGGTAACAAAGACGAGTATAATAAAATTCATGCTATGTTAGATGAACTAGTCAAACAGAAAGTAATCAAGAAGAAAGACTTGGGAGTAATTTACTTGAACATTGGTATGTAGTTCTTATACTTTCTTATACTACTTTATACTTTCTTATACTACTTTATACTTTCTTATACTACTTTATACATACCTACATATTCTAAAATTTTTTCTAATTAAATGTCACGAAAATTAGTGTTAGCCAGAATGTACATTAGTGACCAAGATAAAACTCCTTTGAGAATCAATAAAAGAAAGTGGGTTAAACAATACAATTTAACAACACAAACTCTATACGACGGATTATGGGCATTGGCAAAAGAAATGGATGTCAGTCGATATATTGACAGGAAGCCTCGAAACGCTGTGGTGGATAACGTACACTTGGAGCGTACCCCAGAGTTACAGTTGTATAAATCCAGTTCCGCAATTAGTAGCATGAGTGAATTGTATGAAAGATCTAGACAAAGTAAGGAAACTGTAGAGACTTTTGAAAAGGATGAACGAGAGAATTGTTCTAAAATTAACCTTCTGAAACCAGTGAAATCAAAGATGAGTCAGATTTAAAATTTTTAAAAACTCAAAATGATCTACATTTTTTCTATATAAATGCCAAAGATTCACACATTAACTACAACTAGACAAGACGTGGCGAAAGTATTGAAAAATCAAACTGATGATATTCTTAACCAATTAAATACCGACTCTAAAATTAGTGAGTTTCTTGATGAGTGCTTACAAAAACATAAAAATAGTAAACTTTACAAGGATGCTAATGAAATTCATAAGCAATTAGATTTAATTAACAAGTTTGTATCGTCTGGTTATGGCGAAAGTAATGAACTAATACCAATGATTAAAAGTCTTACCCAAAATATCGCACATCTATTTTCTAAGGAAAGAGTGGCTGTTGAGGTAATAGATCAGTTGAATTCAAAACTAGATAAGCTTGAATGTGAAAAT